CCACCCCGCCCCCGCCTGTCGGAGCGTTCAGCAGTGGACAGCAGCACCGCACGAGCCAGCGCACAGCTCACCTGGCCCCGCAGAGGTATTTCTATTTCCCCCCTTTTTTTCCCGGCGAAGAAGTGCTGACCGATGGAGAGCCCTGACGTCACCATGTCAGGTAGAGAGTGAAAGGGGGGCTTTGGGTCGTAAGGAGGAGGGAGTATCACTGCGGGTGTGTTGGGGTGGCCTCTCCATATCGGTGAACACCTTTCGGGCTCGGACGCACGCACGATGATGGACGCCTGGCTGCTGCTGCTGGCTCTCCTCGCCATTGCGGGAGGTGAGTAACTTGTCCGTCTAATGGCTCCATCGATGCGCCTTTGAGTGCATCGTCACCTTTCAAGGGCCAAAGGCACCGTGCGTTCGTGCTTTCAGAAGGTCTGGAATAGGTTTCTTCAAAGTAACGAGGGAGTGAGCGTGAAAACAAAAGGAGTGGTTAGATATTGAGGAGAGGCAGACGTGGAGAAAATGACTCTTTCATTGCTGTGTCACCATTTTTCTCAGCAGTGAGCGCGACGGAATGATATAAATATTGCCCACTCTATATATCACATGCGCAAACTGAACAAACATTAGCAACTGCATGAGCTCACATGATTATCCGTTTACAACCTGAAATAAATCTTTTTCATTTAGGGTAGCTAGCTGTTAGAGGCCTTACTTTATAAAGTAACACCATGTGGTTATAATTGGATGGACTAGGTAGTATTGCTATATGTATTTAGGATACGTTACACTTTGCCAACAAAAAACAACAATATGGCTAATTCTGAGGGTAATTTAAAGCATTTACATTGTTTTGCTGCTAATAGGCTGAGGATTAATAAAAAATAGCTTGCACATCAGCAGGTATAGAAGGCTTTGTGAATATAAGCATGCATTTACAATACATGAACTCAAAAAAAGACCAATCCACTATTGCACCAGCTATCCTTTCCATTCTAAATATACATTAGAGACAGAGAGAGAGGTGGGGGAGAAATTATGTTATCATCCACGTACTCCCCTCCTCTCTCTCTCTCATTAACACTGAGGTCCTGCATTGAGTGGGCAGGTTAATGAAACTTCTACATCCTGTCATCAGAGGACAGATGATGTGTCAATCAGCAGAGCAGGAAAAGCCTTCTGCTTCAGCGTGCAGATAAATTATCTTTCTGTCTTTGTGGAGGACATGCACTGAGGAGATGAGCCTTATTTATAACATTGTTGTTGTTGCGTTGCATTCAGAGCAAATGAGGTATGCGTTAAGTCATTAGGGTCCTCAGACATATTTTACCTCCGTAAGTTGGCACTAATTTATTGTTAATTTCTG